GCGTTTACTGTATATGAAATATTTATTAAACTTCTATCATACTTTTATTAAACTTATTCATTATAAAAGTATGATAGAAGTTTAATAAAAATTTCATCTACAGTAAACGCTACATGGCAAAAACCTTTAAATGGTTTTAGGCTTACACAATTGTTGTTGCTACAATTCTTCAAATCTGGCAAATAATTATTTAACATTTATTTAAACTAAATCTTATACCACATTAAAGTACATTTCATATACTTTCCAGATTATACTATTTCTATAGTAAAACTTTAAAACTAGATGCCTTTCCCTTAAGAAAACAACAAACAGTCCTTTTTACATTGTTTTCTCATATGTGCCTATTTATTCAACATTATGTCTATTATTGTACGCGCATTGAGTTTATACTTTTGAAACGATTTTTCTTAATAAGGTTTACTATTTCTCACGAGAAATACGCATACCGGTGCTCACAATTTAGTTTAAATCATAAGCAATGTTTTTCAATTCTGTTCACATGATATACTCCATTTTTAAACAAATTGTCCAGTTAGTTTTGATTATACTTATATTTTATTCTTGAGTTTAATCTATTGAAACTCACTATAGAAGTATTTTTATATAAATTTATATTTATAATGATTGCAATAATGATATCAGCAATATTATGTGGTCTGGGTGTTATTGTTTAAAAATGATTTGACAATTATTGCAGTTTAAGAATAACAAACCAAACAACCAATGGGTGGTAAAAAATGGTTGGCAACAGGTATTGAGGGCACCGATAGTCTAGAAATTAGAAAACAATTTTTAATGAATCGACAAACCAAACTAAACTGGGATAATTTAGTGCTCTAAATGTTAAGTAAGAATAAAATAACAGTTATTTAAAATGCCAGTCCACTCAACTAACTCAACAAACAAATGAATGACTGATAACTAAGATCAGGACTTTTTTTTGGTAAATAGTGTTTAAATAGTTTTATTAGAAATTATCATTTTGGAGCAAAGCCTTAATGTTACCCTGAACATTCATTCATTATTTAGACTTTAAACTTATGTAGATATGAATGTATTACAACAAAAATACAAATTATTTTAGTTATTAAAAGTTTATTCATTTTGTATATAAAATATTAACATATTATAAGTGAATCATTGAATTGTTTAGATGTCTAAATCATTATTTATCATAAACTTTTATAAACTCTGGTTATTTTTATTAATTTATATTTCATTACAAAATGAATAAACTTCTAAAAACTAAAATGATTAATTTATTTGTGTTAAACATTCATATTTATATGAGTATATTGTTTATATAACTAATTGATAACAATAAGGCTTTGGTCCAAAATAAAAATTTATAATAAAACTATTTAAACACTATTTATTTTTAAAAATCCTGATCTTACTGATAAGTTATCAGTGATAACATTATATTTACTAAACAACAAAGTTGTCGGTGCTGTCGAAACACAAACACATACTTGAGTTCATAGCCAAAAAAGGCTTCCCCTCTGAGCTGCGAACACACTTTCATGTGTACCCTCCGGACCTCGAGCCTATACTGTTATCCCACTGAGAAACACAATTGATACTGATCATTTACTTCAATAATTGCAATTGACACAAATTAGTTGTGATAACCAATTTGATTGCCCGGAAATTGATGACCAAATTCTGTACCAGAATTTAATTAATGAGACAAATGTTAATTCTCAACATTTTTATTCAAGACCAATTATTCAAATGTTTTCTAATTAATGGTTTGAAAGAATATTTAAACTTATAATTTCGTATGTTTTATATGAATATAATTAAATATAAATAATTATAATTTTAAAAATAGTTTACACAGTGTGTTCAATCATTTTCATGACTATTTATTAATTTATAAGCATTAAATATGTGTATAATATGATTTAATATGATTAATAATTATACAAGAAAAATCACATCGATCCTTTTTGTTTAGTCCGATTAGTTTCAGTATAGTTAACAATTGTCTAGACTTTACAAATATAATCAAAACACCAGTTTAAACAATAAAATATTATTTCATTATATCATTTAGAAAAATAATTATATTTTGAGAATATACTGATAATATTACAAATCTACTAAAAATAACATGATTTAAACTTGTAATTGTTTAATTATTGTAGACTTTATTCTTGATTATATATTAAACTATAGAAGTTATAGCTTATGGTAGACCAGCAGCTGAATAGCCCCCGTCGACCAACATATTAGTGCCGGTTATAAACGATGCCTCCTTTGACGCTAGAAATAGCACAGCGAATGCCAAGTCGTCCGATACGGCCACCCTTTGCACCGGTATTTTCCGCTCTATTTCGGCAAACGGGTTGTTAGGACTGCTGTTTGGATCCCAATTGTAAGGACAGATTGGACCCGTACTAAAGGTATGTAATAAACATTATCCATTGGAGTGAGTGAGTGAGTGTGTGTGTGTGTGTGTGAGAGAGAGAGAGAGAGAGAGATGCAAAACACAACATACTTAACACTATTAACTCGTATGCCTTTGGGTCCCAACTCAGTGGCCATACATTTCGTGAACATATCAATCGCCGACTTTGCCATACAATACGCCGACTCATTTTTCCTCTATTCATAAAATAGATATTAATGTAAGCATGGTCAATATAGGTCAATATTACGACTATTATACCGGTCGAGTGCTTCTAATGCTAGACATGTTGATTATAGTGCCCCTGGTTATCTCCAAATGCTCCACACATATGCTGGTCATAAATACCATGGCCTCCAGGTTTGTTTGCATAGTCTCCCTATACTTAGAAATAAATAGTATGTCATTAATGGAGACATTCTCGTGATTGACGGGACAGTTGACCAAAATGTCGATTCGGCCGAAAGTCTTCATAGTATTGTCGACCAGTTTTTGCAGGTCTCCCTCCCGGGTGGGGTCGGCCGCCATTTCCAATACATTAGCGCCAGTATTGCGGCATTCATTGGCAACAGTAGTTAGTTGACTGTCGGCGTACTGTCCGCTCACCACAACTCTGGCGCCCGATTTGGCAAACTGTATGGCCGTAGACACAGCCAGACCCGTGTTGGCACCGGTAACCAGGGCTACTTTACCGTTGAAATCGTATGAAACGGACATTTTAATTAAATCAATGGTAGTGTATAATCTTAATGCCTGTTTAAAACTGTTTGCTATTAGAAGTGTCGCACTTATGTATATTTATAATGATTTCAATTATGATGATATCAGCAATATTGTGTGATCAGGGTTTTAATATTCGGGTATTTGTGGTAATGATACCCCAATAGTATCCCGATACAATAAGGTCCCACATACGAGATAGTGTTAAAGTAAATTTCGTCCAAAAATCTACAAATTAACCGAATATTACTAACAGTAATATGATATACAGATTAAACCCGGAACTGACCATTTGATTGGTGGGAAATGGGTTTACTTTGGGAACGGATAATCCAATCACAAATCTGTCTTCACTTTTTATAACAATAATAATCATAAGTAATCGACTTCTGTCATATGAATTCACCAAGGTAACTTGGCAATTTAGATTTCACAAAAAGATGTTTTTTACATCCAAAATACATGAGGTTTGCGACAACTTTCAAAACTAGATGAATATGAAAAATAATTGTATCTTGCTTATTTTTTGCTATTTATAAATTCATTTTAAGTATAATCATTTTTTGAATTTTTAAAATCCCATAAGAAATAAGCAAGATATAAATATTTTTTCATATTCATCTAATTTTTTAAAAGTTGTCACAAACCATATGGATTTACCTACTCAGCACACCGGAGCCATTTGGGGCCACACTATGAGTGACAAAACTTTGAACATTTTAACATTAATCTCTATACTGACTAATGTTATAATCTAGGACCCAAATTGGCGGAGTTATTTTCTCCAAACTCCCCACGCTCTGCATAAACCAACCCATGTTAGGCCTCTGGCATATATCTATTCTAATTTATACAAAACTGGCAAACGACACAATATACAATACCCAAAAAGTGATCATTTTTCATTAATAATTGCTAAATTATTAATTAAATTAGCCCAATAGTTAACTAAATTTAGTTAATTATTCAGAAAATTAACTAAATTGTGAAACAAATAAACAAATTTTATTAATAATTTAGTCAATATTATACATGATTAAATTAATTATTTGGTATGTTAACTATTTTTGTAACTAAATTAACTAAATTTGAATTACATTAATTTAATGATGTATAAAATTGCCTAAATTATCAAGAAGATTTGTTTACATATTCTACAATTTAGTTAATTTTGTGAATAATTAACTAAATTTAGTTAACTATTAGGCCAATTTATACATAATTAAATTAATTTAATTCAAATTTAGTTAATTTAGTT